TTCAGCTCCTAACAGAACATATTCATAGTCTGTAGGGCATGAGCTGTGCAGAGCTTGCAGACATTTTTGTTGTCACATGTTAATACTTGCGAGCACATAAGTGGGTGTGTAGTAGTATTGGAAATCAAAAGGGATTCCATCATCAGTTGTTTCTTATGATTATAATTAGTTACCATGGTTACTCATGTTTTTCCAAGACTTAAGCTGCTTTATCATGTGTATATTGCTTGAGCTATTCAGGACTTAATGAACATATACAGTTGTAATTCTGTCAAGGACTCCTCAGTGATTGTTGATTTTGTATAGCAATCTGAGAAAATACACCAGAAGCAAAGCCCCAGCTGATCAGTCATCTGACCATTGTTGAGTGAGTGAGTTCGGTTTTAAAGTCGCTTTTAACAGTATTCCAGTTATATCACGGCGTGTCAGCTTAATGTGGGAGGAAAGCCCGAAGTGATGCAGGTCTCAGACGTTTACCACTTCGGTGAAACCCACGAGCACGGGTATGGATGGTGCTGACAAACCTAGAAACATAATCGGGGTGAACCGTGATTTGAATCCACAATCAAAGGTTTCTGGCATGCCAAAGGGACGCAACTCTGCACAGTTAATCGCAGCGCCTTAGACAACTTGGCCAACAGTGTCCCCTCTGACCATTTTTTAAGCTTATCATATATATATGAAACAACAGACATTTGACCTTAGGCTTTTGAGAAGCTGTTGACATGGATCCATATTAACTGCTCATAATCATCATAATCATAACTGGAATACTACTGATGCCTACCAATAATTATAATTATTAAACAAGCTTCAAATGATTTGTGTGGATGTAACAAGTATTCCTTCATCAATTACATCAGAATATACAGCAGAGAATTTCTGTTACGCTGTTCAACAATATTTCAATGTTTTAACAATGGCCGTCGGTCACCCGTCAATTTGACAGATGGTTTGTTTAAGTAGTCAGACATTTTAGCAATAGAAATGGTAAGCAAGGCATAACATGTTTCATAATTTCATAATTTAAAAGTAAATAGTAAGGATTAGTCCTACTTACATTATCAATTTAAAAAACAATGCACAGCCATCAAAAATTGTACTTGAAATTCTGAGCAATGCGTGTCTTTGTTTCATACTTTCTGTATCATCATGATCATAGGGAAATGTCATCAGGAACCATAGTGACTTAGTCAAGCACTTTTCTCATTGCGCTGTTCATTGGCCAGATCGAATATATTTGGCCAATTGGCCTTTGTGAACGATGTCCAGACAGAATTTTATATTTTGTTCATTTTACTTATTTACTTTTGCTATTGACTTCTTACAGTTCTTGAGTCCAAGCCAGTGACCTATGTTATCCCCAAAACTAGGGCTGCAACGAATACACTATGAGGCGAATACGATTCATATCACGAATATAGGGTAACAAATACGAATATTAATTCACAATTACAATAAAAAGTCAGCAGTTTATGTATTATTTATTATATTCAGTGAAACAATAACATCATAATTTATTTGACATGGTTTGTTAATTATTAATAAATTATACATTTATGCACTTATCCAGGTACTAGTATCTGCTCAAATGTGACAATGACCAGTGAAAACAATACTATCAAATAAAATATTATTAGAGTGTTGTCATTGAAAGAAATCTATGCATATAATATGTTGTTATGGATATTTTTAGGTACAGGGTATGTAAATATACATGATAGCATATTCATAAATATTCGATTCTAGTGGCCATGAATAACGAATTCAATTCATGAATTGTTATGGTTCGATTCACTGAATACGAGAGTGAATCGTAACAGCCCTACCCAAAACCCTTAATGACTATGTTTGGTTACTTTGCTAAGCTGCATCCAGCAATATTCCAGCTCTATGAAGGCGTTGTGTAAATCATCAAGTCTTGCAATCTGATCATTTTAGTTGTTTCTAACGACAAACATAGGTTGCTTGGGACCTGTATTCTTAAAAGTGAATTAAATGTCTACAAAATTTAATATATGTGAAAGGAATAACATAAATACCTACATAAGAATCTTGAACACAATGTGTAACCCCATTTTACCTCACATAACACTATCATGTATCATGCAACATGTAACCCCATTTTACCTCACATAACACTATCATGTATCATGCATCATGTAACCCCATTTTACCTCACATAACACTATCATGTATCATGCAACATGTAACCCCATTTTACCTCACATAACACTATCATGTATCATGCAACATGTAACCCCATTTTACCTCACATAACACTATCATGTATCATGCAACATGTAACCCCATTTTACCTCACATAACACTATCATGTATCATGCAACATGTAACCCCATTTTACCTCACATAACACTATCATGTATCATGCAACATGTAACCCCATTTTACCTCACATAACACTATCATGTATCATGCAACATGTAACCCCATTTTACCTCACATAACACTATCATGTATCATGCAACATGTAACCCCATTTTACCTCACATAACACTATCATGTATCATGCATCATGTAACCCCATTTTACCTCACATAACACTATCATGTATCATGCATCATGTAACCCCATTTTACCTCACATAACACCATCATGTATCATGCAACATGTAACCCCATTTTACCTCACATAACACTATCATGTATCATGCAACATGTAACCCCATTTTACCTCACATAACACTATCATGTATCATGCAACATGTAACCCCATTTTACCTCACATAACACTATCATGTATCATGCAACATGTAACCCCATTTTACCTCACATAACACTATCATGTATCATGCAACATGTTACCCCATTTTACCTCACATAACACTATCATGTATCATGCAACATGTAACCCCATTTTACCTCACATAACACTATCATGTATCATGCAACATGTTGTCCCATTTTACCTCACATAACACTATCATGTATCATGCAACATGTAACCCCATTTTACCTCACATAACACTATCATGTATCATGCAACATGTAACCCCATTTTACCTCACGTAACACTATCATGTATCATGCAACAAGTTACCCCATTTTACCTCACATAACACTATCATGTATCATGCAACATGTGTGTTTGACTGTGAACAGAACTGAATGTAAGAAGCGAACTAAATGTTAATGAAATAAATCACATTAATGACTACCCTCATGTTACTATTTTTGTAATTTCCCATTTTCACTACTCAAGACACCAGAAAGCTATACAATGTTAGGCTTAGAGAACATCACCTAGTACAATAGGGGTGATAGATAGAAGCTGTCATTGAAACATGAAGTAGGTTTATTTAAGCAGTAGTTATATAATGGGACGATACTTCCTTCAGGACCAACTAATTGATAGCATGCCACACGCTGTGGGTTCAGGCTGAAACGACACCTCGGCAATACGGCACTGATTTCATCAGGTGAAAACGGCTACTGATTGTTGAACAAAACGGCACAAGTAATATATATGTTTTTTATATTTATATATTATATATTTACCTCATTATTGTCACGTGTCTCTATTTACAATAATCATTGTCATATTGTCACAATTTCAGCTTGACATATTGAGTAAAGGTACTTAAAACTTTAAAGCGTGTACAATATTTACACAATAGGTTTATTTGCGCCTCACAATCAGTGTCGGCAGAGTAAATTGGAGGAGAGGCTAATTTCTTGTAAAAACATGGTTTAAAAACATTACAATTTACAATTATTTGTGACTGCATGTGAATCTGAGGTTTATCTCATTTATTTCCTGTGTTTAGAAGCCAAGTTAAATAAATAAGTAAGGTGCCGTTTTCACCTTACAATGGTAGCCGTTTTCACTTTGACGGAGGTTCCATTTTCGCCAATCGATGCCATTTCCGCTCGGTGACGTTTTGTTGAGGTGCCTTTTTTGCCCAAACCCCACGCTACACACATCCTCACTGACTACGAATTGCAAACTACTATGATATAAGTTACTTATGAATTCATGTACCATTGTAATATGTATATATGCACTTCATCTGTACATGGACCAGTGGCTTCATAAGAATAAAAGACTTGACTTGACTAACTAAAGCACCCCATTAGTTGAGTTCTGTTTCTTTATGCTGTTTCAGCGCGTGAAACCCGGCTATTTGTAAGAACGGTGAAGTCTTTGAAGAATATATAACAAAATGGAAAAATCTGCTTTTAAAAGATACATCTGCACGAAACAACGGAAGGAATAAACTGAGAATTTATAAACAATACAAAAAAGAGTATTCCTCAGAACAATATCTAAAATACCCACTCTCCCGTGGCCACAGAAGTGCCTATGTCAAGTTACGTTGTGGGGTGGCTCCTTTACGTGTAGAAACGGGGCGCTACGAAAATATACCTTTTAGTCAACGTTATTGTTTTAACTGTACAGAAAAAGTCGAAGACGAAATACATGTTCTTTTATCTTGCCCTTTATACAAAGATGGCAGAGATTTACTTTTAAACAGTGTATTCGTACTATGCAGAATTTTATAAGCAAACAACCCAGTGAGCAGTTTTTATGTATTTTATCCAGCCCGGACCTTAGCTTTTATTCTTCCAAAGCCTCCCATGAAATTTTAAGAAAGAGACGCCAGCTTTTACATCAATAGTGTTTTATGTGTGTACATATGTGTTTTAATGTATTGCATTTTGTATATATTTTACTTAAGTTTTAAAGTGTCTCTCATAAATCGCTAAGTGATTGGTCGTGTACAATACATGTCTTAATTCTTAATTTTATATGAATGTATCCCCACGAGTGAGACGTAAATAAAATCTTGTGTCTGTCTGTCAACCTGTTAACTACTAAAATATAAACAACAAAATAAATTACTGTATACCACATGCTACACGTGTCATCACCAACTAACCCAAGCCACCCCATTAGTGGGTCTTGTGACTGTTCCTTCACCGCTCTGTCAACCTGTTGAGTACTATATTTAGACATCAAGCGAGTGGGTGATAACTTACCTCATATCTCCCATTGGTGAATATAAGCATCGAAAGAGGAATGGCTGTCCCAACAATTGCATGAGTCGAAGGCATTCCGTACTCGAGTTCATATCGAGTTTCCAGTCGAACGACGGGTGGGGATTTGGGGCGTGGCAAACGCACGATATCCTTAGTTGCCTGTCCAAAATACATGCATATACACCAAACTAGACATATTCTCCGGGCAACATAGGAGTCAAAGTTCCAAAATGAGAAAGAATAAAATAGCATATAAAATGTAGCATTTCCAAGTTGTGCCCCGAAGGAAAATACATAGTACAAGAGGGCGTTTTCGATGCGGAAAGGCACCGTACCGGTACGAATCACACCGTTCACTGCCCTCTTCTTGCCTTTATCCGTAATTTCGTGGTTTTTCACAACACCGTTCCTGTGGATGACTTGTGAATCCGAATCTTGGTTTGTGTGTGATTTAGTGTCTACAACTTCGGAATCCATTTTACGACCTGTATTGGAACAAACACCATTTACAAGCGAAGATTTCCCACCCGGAAAAGCGTCTGGAGAAATGCCGTTCGGGTGCTGGGATATATTCCCATTATGCCTGTTTTCGTCTTTTAAATTGACTGGATCAGGTGCGTGGATGATACCACATGCCTTTTGGAATCTTGCCACCACCTCCGGATCACTGGTGTAAGACAAAACACGCCGAAGAACTGACATATCGGCTGATTTCTCCTGGAATTTGGACCTGTCCTATCTCAACTGCCGGTCCACTTCCTCAACGAAGGTCGAATATAGAAAGGGCGGGTAACTCTCGTACCACGTGCTGTACCTGTGCGATTAAAACATTAATGTCATGATATAGAACTCTTATCGCATACTAATCATTATAATTGGATATGAATATACATGTGCAAGCTCATCAGATTGCAAAATGGATTAGATTTAGGACAGTTAACCTTTAGAATCGAAACATAGTTTGTTAAACTGTTATATTTCAATTATTACATTTCACCAGATATTTATAAAGACATTATTGAAAGAAGCGTACTGACAATCACAGTTTGAACACAGAAAACAAATCAAGCAAACGCGATTCTCTCCTCGATTTCGAAATGATGGTCATATAAATGCCTTTGACAATGGTTAGACCAGGTGTACTTTCAAGGATGACACATTCTAGTCGTTGATTCATGTCTACGAGCTGTTACAGTTTTTTTTGTATCTAAAAGAAATAACTATTCTGTTTCTTTGCCAACAGTGTCATATTTTAACTTAAATAAAATATGAACAAGGATTGTTTTCTTCGCTTTTCAAAATCGCATTTTAGAAATTTGCTTAATTCGGTACGTTTATTCAAACAAACTTCAAATAAATCTGAAACAAAAAAATTAAATAGTTCTTCTAGAAACTTATATGCGGTTTCAACAACTGTTGAAACAAAGACGTATATAGAATATAGAATATAATTGTATATACGTCCGTGGTTGAAAGTAATTTATTTTAAAAGGAAAAAAGTCATAGCTGTCCGATGTTTGTGTTTTTTTAACATAAAAAGAAGCACACACACATACTAGGTTTAATAACTTATCCACATACGTGAATATGTATCGAGGGACTTTCTTACTGCACGTGATCCCCGCTCTAGTAAACTTAATAACGGAAAACAATAGTCATGGTTACAAATAAATCATTCACGCTTAAGAACGCACCTCGTATTTAGTAAACCTCCAGATCTGTGTGTTGATTTCTCTACAAATATCCCAATCCGTCCATCCAGTGCTGTTGTACTTCTGGTCAGGCTTCAAACACGGCCATTTGGGCGAGTGTCCCAAGCACGAGATCCGGCTCCAGCTAATGTGTGTCAGAAATGGAAACTGATTGTTGTCGATATACATGTGGCCCTGTCAGCTGATGATGTAATAGTGGACTTCGGGCTAGTCGCTAGGCAACTTGAATGTCAGGTTACCGGGGTCAAAGTTCACTTATAGAAACCAACTGGACTTTTGATGGTATGCAGCAAGCCAATTATGTAGGAGAGGTAATGCACATATTTTCCATAACAGTGGGGACTGACAGGTCGAAATGAACAATATGTAGTCGCATTATTATGTTAATAAAATATATCATATTGAAAATAAATCGAATGCAATCTTTTAGTTTTTCTATGTATAGGATGGTGAACGGTGTTTGCGTTTTGCATTGTTACTCTGTTGGCAGATCCTTTAATTAAACCAGCGACCATATAATAGATATGGTCTCTGATTAAACAATGTCAAAACATGGATAGGTAATGAAATGTATTAGTAAAGATACCGTTTGAGTAATCTGACTTATGACCAGTAAACAAAGGTCCAGGTTTATACAATGTGATATATGGTTATAGTGTGAGGTAATACATCCGTGAAATACAAACAAACAAAACCACAAGGAAGATATACAAGAAAACATTACTACTTTATCAAGGAATTGTTACGACGCTTTGTTTTGAGATTGTAAAATGATCGTCATTTAACCTGCTTGACACAAGACGTACGTCTGTGATAAGCCATTCATTGTTCTATTAACTGTTAGTCAATGTAGGGAGGCGCAGTGAATCAAGGCCTGATCACATAATCATTTAGCTCTATTCATCTGTTAGTTATGTAACACAGCTCGCATTGTACGCAACATCACATAATGTCATTGAAATATGAATACACTTTTCTGTCTTTGTTTCTTGAATTGCCGGCAGGTTGGATAGTTTAACATTTGACGTTACATCAGCAATATTTTACCACGTAGTCGTTGGTATAGAATACTAGTTACATGGTCCTGTTGGTTAGAGTTAATCTGGGCATATAGTTAGGCCCTTCCTTGGATTAAGACAAATTAAGTTTAATTATGGCAATGAATCGACAGTAACCAATAAAGGCACAAATTAGAACTAGAACATTAATTAGGTATAAGTATGTGTAAATCGTTTTGGATCACCGGAGAATATCTTCTTTGTGCTTTTGTTTGTTTGGGTTTTTTTCACGCATGTATAACCTCACACCTTGTCCTTAAAGTCTAGGCTTTGCTTGAACCACGGACGTATATTCTATATACGTCTTTGCTTGAACCGATGTCTCGCCTGGTGATACATTGCGAGCCGTCCGTCGCCCTTCCATCGTGTAGGTGGTGATATTTCACTTATTTCAATCATGGCCAACGTTGCAGTTGAAGTCCGCTATCTTTCCAATGCTCGTGGCTCACTATTTGCTTATCATAGAGGGTTTAAGTTTAGCGTCAACAAGACCAAGAATGACACAAAATACTGGCGATGTGTTGATCGCAGTTGCAAAGGTAACATTATTATTAGTATTATTTTATATCGTTTTCTATGTTACCTGAATATTTTAATTTGATAATGTTCTATTTTGTTTGTTATAATGTTGTAAGCATTTTGTTTTATGTTCATGTATTTTTTTAATTGAACCTCACGCCACCCCAACAAATCCAGCTTCATCACATTCATCAAGAGAGAACAGTCAGTTACTGAGGTAAAGATTGCACAACTTGCCGGTCATCCCCGTGAACCACGACGCCGACGAAGGTACATTGTGATCGACGAGCAGATTCGACGGAAAAAGGACAGACTGAGACGTGGTGAGAGAGTCCTCATTGACTACGTTGATCATGTGGCAAACCTTCTTGGTGTGTGGTGACATTTGTGAATGAAATTTGAGACTGAAACTATGATGTATTTATTGAACATGAAGAACGTGTGTTTTAATTAATAAAGATCATTGATGAACGAAGATCACTTGATAAATATTTATGTTGGTTTATGGATGTTAACATGACTATTGTTAACGTTTTTTATGAATAAAGATCATTGATGAATGAAGATTACTTGATAAATATTTATATTTATGATTATTTATTATGTTTGTGTATGTATGTTAACGTGGCTATTGTAAACGTTTTTATGAATAAAGATCATGAAAATTGTTAGAATCATCAAGATAAACTAAATGTTTGATAATATATATTGATTATTTATTATGCTGTTATTGCTGTATGTATGTGAAAATGTATTGTTATACCCTTGTTACAACAGAATAAAGAATATGAAATAACAGAGTCCTCGTGTCAGGTGTGGGGCGGTCGGGTAGCCTAGTGGTTAAAGCGTTCGCTCGTCACGCCGAAGACCCGGGTTCGATTCCCGACATGGTGACGCCGTGATATAGCTTGAATAGTGCTAAAAGCGGCGTAAAACCATACTCACTCACTCGTGTCAGGTGTCATATACTGTCCCTAACAGCGTCAAGTTCCCTATCACCCCCATGAGAAAAAATAATGGAATACTCTAACTGCAGACACGTTAAGTAAACACGAATATACTTTCCCGGTCCGTAGAATTATTTTACCTACCTTAATTTCAGAAATTCGACGGATCAGGTGGACACTGTGTAGGTTCGTGGTCGGGATAGCGACCCATAGTCTGTCACCCAGACCCGAAAGAATATATTGAAATAAAGGAGTCCAACTCAAGTCTATCTTTTCTATTTTGTGGACATACATAGAATAGAATCAACACTCGTTGATATATTTGATATAAAAAGACACAAGGGTGAGATTCTATTTATTATCCAACATCATTCTTTCAACTTTTTTTGCAGTTTTTAAGCCCCCGTTATACTATCAAAAAGACAGTAATGCAGTGTCTTAAAGTGTACAAAGTACAGCTCACAGGTTCAGTAGGAGTCATTAGTGATGTCATTTGATTGTGACGTCATGTAACAATTACGTCACAATGGTCAGCAAAACACTGTGATGCAATTTCATTGCAGCGATATCTACAACTCACCCAAGCGATATCTCATGTGGGAGCCAGTTTTGGATGATAAATATTTTAAAATGAGATAACATATAGTATGACTTTCCGACGATTTGCACATGTGCATTTTAGAGATTCTCAGTGTAAGCCATATCACGACACAATGCTACATTGTTGAGAAAAATACGATATGACGTCACCCATTGTTCATGACGTAATTAATACATAATTCATTACATTACGTCATGTGAACAATAGGGTGCCTTCACTGAAGTTTCTCTTTAGGGTTGACATTTCCAACTTTTTCACGTCCTTTTCTCTCTTAATGTACAGAATATATCTCTTAATATACAGAACAACCTACTCCAATCTCATTAAAATCAGACCTCAGTTCTCGCTACCGCTAAACAAAGATCTGATTTTAATGAAATTGAACCTACTTGAAACAGCGAATGAATGGTGTAAGCTATCTCATTTTAAACATAGACTTTTAAAATATTTCAATATGTAATGTGACCGCTCTGCTCTATTCTAACATTATAATTATACGCACGTACGCACACTATTGTGAAATAGGATATGTATGGAGGTATACGAGGGGATATAAAACAAATTTGAGCCTCACACAGAAAAAGTAAAAGAATTGGATTGTTACTACTTTATTTTTCAACATAGTCCCCTCCCAACTCCACACACTTGTTCCACCTAGTTTGCCAGTCACTGATGCCCGATCGGTAGAAGTCAACATTCTGGTCCCCTAACCAACCCTCCACAGCAGCAGTTAGCTCATCGTCATCTTCAAATCTCCGGCCCCGGAGGTGTTTTTTCAGCCTGGGAAAGAGGTGGAAGTCACTGGGGGCTAGGTCTGGAGAATAGGGTGGGTGAGGGAGGAGTTCGTAGCCACATTCTTGCACAGCTGTCATTGCAACACGGCTCGTGTGGACTGGTGCGTTGTACTGGTGAAGCAGAATCCCACGACGGATTTTTCCACGGCGTTTCACCTTGATGGATTGGCGCACCTGCTTTAATAACTTGGCGTAATACTCCCCATTCATTGTGGTACCATGGGGCAGGTAGTCGATGTGAATCACTCCTTTGCTGTCCCAGAAGATGGTCATCATAACCTTCTTGGGATCTGGTGGCCTTGAACTTCTTTGTCTTTGAAAAAGTGGCGTGTTTCCATTCTATCGACTCCTGTTTGCCCTCCGGATCATAATGATAAACCCTTGTTTCATCACTGGTTACAATCCTAAAATGAAAATCATCTGGGTTGGCGTTGTACCGAGTTAGCAAGGCTCCACTGATGGTGACCCTTGATAGCTTCATGTCATCTGTAAGCATTCTCGGGACCCATCAGGCACACACTTTGGACATGTGGAGTTTGCCATGAATTATATAATGTATGGATCCATATGACAGGCCTGTTGTTTCTTCTAGCTCATGGAGAGTAATACGGCGGTTTTCCATCACTAGTTTGTGTACAGTGTCAATGTTTTCAGGGCTGGTACTGGTTGATGGCCGTCCGGACCGGGCATCATCTTCAAAGCTCTCTCTGCCACGCTGAAATTCCTACACCCACCGTTTGATAGTTGCAGACGATGGGGAAGACTCTCTATAAACTGCAGTCAATCGCTCTTCCACCTGTTTGGCAGATTGACCCTCTAGGACAAGGAACTTTATCACCGCTCTGTACTCAGATTTGTCCATGTTGCCAATTCACTAGGGGTAGGTCTCTTCCACTAAGTGTTGTGACAAAATAATTGCAGCCAGCAATATGTTTCTACATAGCATCAGTAGCTAAGACATTCATGTACATCAGGTGTAGCGCATTGTACCATTCGACCAGGAATACTGTGTGAGGCTCAAAACTTGTTGATATCCCCTCGTACATCGCAGACCTTCCTTCGCTGCGAGCTTTCCTCACATACAAGCTGACGACCCGTGAAGATCCGGGGTAGAATAGGTCTTCAGCAACCCATGCTTGCCGTAAAAGGCGACTATGCTTGTCATAAAAGGCGACTAACGGGATCGGGTGGTCAGGCTCGCTGACTTGGTTGAT